TTATTAACTACTACGTACGTCGTCGTACGTACGTTACGTTAACGTAACTACTACGTACTATACTATACTAAGTATTACGTACGTCCGTGTAGTGTAGTAGTAACTGTGTTACCAAAGCTAGCCAGCTGTAAGTAATAATAAATATCTTACATTTCATTGTGCCAAAAAAAATGTTGGGTTTGTGTTTTTTACTCTTAATATAGTAGCACAATGTGCCTGAAAAGAAATTATAAAAAAATAAATGAAATACCAACATTTAAATGAGTGAAATTTCCAACCACAAATAATATCTTGATTTTTTTTACTTCTATATATCTATACAATAAACAGATTATTTACAGATTTGCAATAACAAACAACATATTTTGTAGCCATTAATATATAGTTGTAACAAAATAATAGCATTCAATTTTATTTCCTTTAAAACTTTTAAAAGGCTTTCTTTAATTATAAAACTGAAGAATGTAGCTAACTGTAATACATGAAGATATTCTGTGTGAGTATATTATGTGCTATTCTTGTGGTATTTCTATAAAATTTAAACCAGAGAGAAAGAAAATGTAAGCACATTTATCCACCTAAATATATTTTCTTCTGAAACAGTAACAGTCTAAGATACAAGAGTACATCTAGCTTAAATTTCTTTAGAGCAGTAGATATAATGGTTGACTGATAATACTTGCTAAGTTATATGGATGTGTTTAAATACATTAGATAGATGCTATATACCAGATTTTTTAAAATCAAATGGAACCTTACAAGGCAACTTAGCATAATGTATAGAATTGTATAGTATTTCTTTATATATTACTAACCATAATACATACTTCTCAATCAAGTACTGTTAGACATACAGTAATATATGACTACTTCAATATAAAATAATCTAAGACTAAAAATAAAGAAATCAAGCCTTTAAACTAAAGATACTCAAATGTAATAAAGCATATAGGGTTCAAACATTTCTTAGACATTGATTAGAACTGATAAAGTTTCAAGACCAACTACGTAGAAACTTTTTAAAAACAAGTTTTGTTATACGTATCAATTTTTAATTTCTTTACTTATGTCAACAGTAAACTATCTGTAATTTTGAAGAAGACAAAATTTGGTAGGTTTTATGCAGAAATTAATTCTGTTTCTATGTATCATACTTGGACTTTTTGTTAATAAATTATTTTGAGTATACACACAGTATATAAAAAATTTTTTTAAGTATCTCCAAATTATTCGCAAGTTCACACTAGAGATAAAGTTATAGGAAACAGAATTCATTCCTATACATATATATTTATGTATGATTTAACCATTCAACTAGGAGAATGCTTGGTGCAAATAAATAATGAATAGTTCCACAGGTTCTTCCTTTTATTTTTGTATTCTCAATAAAACTGATAGAAGATTATCCATTGGCATGAGCTACAAAACCATGAAATTGTATTGGAGTAACAGTAGGCCTAATACTAGTTAAGCCTAGCAAGTGTTGCATAATTCACCAATAATTATATTATTACACAAATAACAGGTATAGAATTCCATTGAAAAAGTATAAATTCAGATTTTAAAAATTGATTTTATGAATTTGAGATGAAATACAAAAACAGATTTTTTTAAATTTTTTATAGATAACACATATAAATACTAATAGTAATATCGTGCAGTATGAACTATAAAATACATATTGTTAATGAAGATACAAAGTGATGTTAAAACAGTATGTTTATTTACAGAACATTTCATAGGGCATCACCTATTTATCCATTCAAGGCAACTCTTCCTCAGTTATTATAGCTTCTCCTACAAAAAAACTGTTTGTATAAGTAGATGCAAGGGAACTATTAATTTCTTCCCTTCCCACATCCTGTAAGTATGGAATTAATGTATATAAACAAACAGTATCCACAGTAGGCTCTTGAGTTTACTTAAACTTCCACTTCTTAGTTTCTTTTTTAGAAATTAGGTGACAGTTGCGTCAGTTTGAATCTCCTGAGGCAGAAATGAGCTCACCTGTTATTATCTGAGTAATAGGTGTTGACCTTCCATTCTGAAATTGAAACATGAAAATTCCTATACATAAAATAAATACACAATGTACTTATAAGTCGCATATAATTACAGTAAACTTATAATATGACTTGTAGAAAAGTCTCTTCTATTAAGGTCTCGCATATATCAGTCCTGTATGTTGTAATTAACAACAAAAAGTCGTGTTCTCTGATACACAGTACTATGTACACAACTTTTAGTCTAAATGCCTAAAACTCAATGTAATTAACTGACATGGATAAAATATTGTAAAATATGTCGTAGCCTTAATTGTTCAACTATGTATTTATAAATATATAAATTACAGTAATGGATACTAAAGAACAAGAAAAACCTATAGGGAAATTAGTTTTTAAAAAAAACTGAAAAATTACATATTCTTTATACTTCACACACAAGTACATTACTCAAAAACCACACATGACTGACTTACCTCTATGCTAGAATCCAAATGAGCTGATAAATCATTGTTTAATGAAACACTATCAGAATCCCGACTGGTTTGGGATTCTGTAGCAATTTTCAATGCTACACTATTGAGGCCATTGTTTCTTATAAAAGCTTTGGTATCTTCATTGTCTCCATTTCCAATATGTGATTCTTCACTGCCCCCACATGTCATAGAGCCTGAATTGAAACGACCACCTTCTCCTCTAATTCTGTTCATCGCATGTCTGTGCCTAGATTCATGAAGGTATTTCTGGTAGTAAGAATGGAAAGTTTTTAAAATGAGAAAAAAAACTTTCTTGCAAGAACTAAAACATTTAATAGTTTTATATATTTAAAAAAAAAAATTGCAGAGCTTTATACATTCACGAAAAAAAAAGTGACTCTTCAATATTTAAAATTACAGATTGAACAAACTTAGTTCCAATGCTAAATTTTGATTTGTAACAACATTTAGTACTTTGTTTTATACTCCTGAAAGATACATATTGTGTATGAATGAATATCTAGGATTATTTTTTAAATGATATAAAACGATAATCCCTATATTTTATAAAAGATTTTTAACCATTAGAAAAAAAACTATCAAACTTATACTATTATAACGTTTAATTTCTCTCATTAGTCAATTAAAAAGTAATAAATGCACTGGAAAGTAGGTTAAAATACTTGAGTGTCCAATACAATATTTGACGCAGTAACCATACAGCTATAATTGTTTTTTATAACTTCAATAATTTTACAGTATTTTTCTAAAAATAATTCAATATAAAACATTTACCTCTTAAGGACATTTTTTTCCCAGTTTCATTTGCAATACAACAAAGAATAGCCACAAAATCAATTTCACATCAATGTTAACTCCACTGGGCATACATTAAGCTACTTGCAAGAAATATATATATATGTATATATCTTAATTTCCAAAAATAGTTATTTTTCTGAACCTAACAATAATTGGAAGTTTTAATCCTACAGGGAAAAAAAGAGATAAGCCTCTTCATATGCACATGTTCCAATGCTAATAAGACATACAATTTTTTTTGTTTGAAAAAGTTAAGTCTGTTTGTTTGCTTTGGATATTCTTGTAAAGCTACAAAAGGGCTATTTGTGTTAGAAGTCCCTAATTTGTAACTCGTAGGTTAGAAAGAAGTCAGCTAAACCATTTAACAGTACCCATTACTAACTGTTGGGCTCTAATTTAATAGTGAGATTTTTCCATTACTCACATAATGCACCCATAGCCCCTAAGTCCAGAGCATGATTTTGCAGCAACAGAAGTTGAGCTACGGACCCTCACATTTATTATCCAACCTGCTAATTATTACTGACCATACCCAGCCCAAATTAAGTCTTAAAACGTTTTTGTGTACACTACTACATAAATTATGATACTTTTTATCATAAAATAAATTTAAAACATATTCCACTATGAGCTTTAACCAAATATTAAAAAGAACCTGACGATAAAAGACAACTCCTAGAAAGGAAATGTTTCTTTAATAAACCTTACCTATTAGCTATTTTATGATAAAACTTTAATTGATTTAACACAGTCCAACTGTACATGGTTTAGAAAAAGAAAAACAACAACATACTAATACAACTAAAATGCATGAGAAGATTCAGGGTAATGCCTATACAGTAGGATTGTTAGAAAAAAATGTTCTGTGCATTCTTACCTATATACTGTCCTTACCACAAAATACTGTTAAGAAAATACAGAAATTAATCAAATTTAGATCTTGAAAGTATTTGGTTGAATATCTCATAGGAATATTTGAGAAAAACCAAGAAATAGTCTTAGAGGTGTGATTTATCCATATGCAATTCAATCAAAGAGTATACAGTGAGAGAAGTCAAGCTCAATTTTGACTCAATAGTTAAGATTGTCTGAATGTTTTCATTTATATGATGGGTTTGTTAATAACCAAACAATAATGTTCCTCTATCGTGAAAATAAGGAACCAAATTAACTCTGTCAGATTAATTTGGAATGCTTAAAACACTGTGCTCCATTTAGTTAACAATCCCAAGAACAACTTAAAACCTTAACAATACTTGTAAAAACATTTAATAAATTTCAAAAATCAACTTGCTCTTCTCTCCTTAGGGATTCTTCCTTCGGCCTCCAATTTGGCACGAGCCTGCCGTCTTTTCAATATTCGATGGTATTGTTTAGCATTCACGTATAATGGCTCTTCTTCCAGTAATTCAGCAGCTGGTAATGGTAATCTCTGCATTGCTTGTAATCCTCCTGACCCTGGAACTACCTGAATAAATGTATAACAACTTAAATGATTGTTATCTTTCTCTACAAAAATTCTACATTTTCAGAATTAACGAGCAATCTCTTACTCAATGTCAGAAAATATGATAATTTTGGTAGATATTGGGATAGCCCATCAGATCCAGAGACTTGGAAGCCTAAGAGTGAAGTACATGACTGTGTAGAGCATGATCCATGGATCATTTTGCTGTGCTGTTTCCTTTAGTACAAGTAGTCATTAAGGTGTTTCTATCCTACTAAAGTGGATCACCCACAAGCTATGGTCATGCTGTTTTGCCTCTCTCTAATCCACTTAATATTCTTACACTTTACTCAGAAAAAAAAAAAAGTCTTCAAATTTTCCATTCCTAACCTGATCTTGAATGGTAATCTTTCACATTATCAAGATTCACAACATGCCGAATCATCTTTGTTCTCTTCCCATTTGAGAGTAAGCTGTTGGATACACCCATAAATTTACCTTTCTTATATACAGACTTCTTCTCTTTGGGGGCTTAACAGCACCTCCTCTGTTGAAGCTTCTTTGGCCTCTCTCACAGCTACTTTCTTGTGTCATTAGAACCTTATCCACACTTGTAATGCTTCAGACGTTTTTCTACTTTAACTTTACAGGTTAGGTTTGAATCTGACCTCGTTTCCATCAGTGAAAGAACAAATACTTAGAGATTTGGGTTCATTGTCTCAGCTGTTCCTCAAAAGTTTTACAAAAAATTTGGGAATGGTGAGTGTTCCAAAGATAATGTACTACAATAATACCATGATCACTGTGTGATTTAGGGTAAAACAAATCACCCAACTATACTGTTAAAAACTAGTCATACCTTCTTTGGACGTTATCAAATTATAGATACACCACTGGATTCCTCATAAGATAATGCATATTTCTGTATATTATCAGAAACAAAAAATTCTAAATCCTGAATATGGGTTCTACAAAGTACTCTATCATTTCTGCTGTCATTGAATCAGAGATTGCTCGTTAAAATGTATTTCAAACAAATACCTCTGAAACATAGTTTTCCTCTTCTGGAGTATAAATTGTTCTGTCAGTGTCATGTGACCTAAAATTCCAAATGTTCTTGATGTATTCCAGTGCTTGATTCATATCTACCTATAGATCTCCAATCTTCTATTTTCCTTGTGACTTATTTGCAAGTTCTAACTTTCAGCCCAAAGCCAGATTTCTTTTGCAGTCATGATGTGCAACCACCAATCTCACTGTTGTGAGGAAGTGGGTGGGAATATATTTCATACATAAGCACCTGTTTGAAATTCATTTGGATTATAAACATTTAAAATTCAACAGAGGCAGACTTACTGCCTGATTACTAAAACTGGAAAGGAGAAGGAGGGAACTACAGAATGTGACAGGCTATGGACTGTGAAGCACTCCACCAATACCAACTGATGGCTAGTGGAGTTGAGAATGACAAATAAAAAGCATAATTCAAACCCAACTATATAAGAGGGGCAAAATCTGCATTAGAGAAGGAGTGGAGAAGACCAGAGTATTTTATAATTAACAAGGATCAATACTTTGTTTTTAAGAACACTCAGAAGTATTATTCCTCTTAGCAGGATACTTAGTCACCTAGGAAATATCTGTTTTACCACATTGGGCAGAATTATTATACCTGGGCCACAACATTTCTTTGAGGGATAGTAACCAGCATTAACCAAAAATTGGTACAGCATTTTGAGATACCAAAATACTGTTTACTGTGGAAGATTCTCAGAGAAGATCAGACCATTTGATGCTTTAGTAATATAAAACTAGAGAAACTCCTATAGTATAATTACTCTCTGCATTCGTACAAGACCAATAAAGAAAAATAAGTTAGGCCATTAACTAATTAACTAGAGAATAAAATGACAATAGGTAAACCTACCGATGGGAATATCACAGAGGAAAAGAAGGATGGTGTGCCCCATCCATAAGAGGAGCTGAGAGACATTATGTAGTTTCATAACAATATCCTATCTGTTCTGTTATAATCAATGGCATTTTTCTTTCATAGCTTATACTTCTACTTTCAGGATAACTGTCTAATAGTTACAATCTCTCATCATTTAACTCAAAATACTATTCCATCAGTTATTTTAAAATAATTAATATAAGAAGTAAGACCTTCTTTATTGCAAAATGGATTTAATAAATTAAATTTTTTGTCATGCTAATTTTGTTTTATGTTTATTTGAAAAAACAATTTTCAAATATTGTGGGATGATGTGATATATTTATGTTCGCATTGTTTGGGCACTGTACATGTTAAAGCTGTACTATGACTTAATATATATGTTTATCATGATTTACAAGGAATAAGCAAAACAGAACTTGCTGCTTATTAAATAAAACAGTGATAAAAGTTGTGCTAAATTTCAGTTCTAAATTGGCTGAAAGTTCTGCCATTCATTTAATACTTGAAGCAGAACAAAGGCAGATGTTCCTAGTGAAATGAAATGGTTTCTATGGGAACTCAGGAAGGCATCTCCATTGAAACATGATCACAGTTTGAACTTTTAAATACATTTAAATTTTAAAGTAGTAAACATTAATGTGAGTCCAGTATTAATTACTGTTATTACTATATAGTTTTTAGCACAAATTCTAATGAGAAAATATGTTAAGTAAACATAATAATATTTCTAATTATTACCAGCTGAGCACCATGGGACTGAAAAAAAGTGCCAGAGCACAGCTCCGATCCATTACATTTTTGGTCATAATGTTATATGCAGCATTCATGCAGAGATGGGAAAATAGGCACCTGGTGAGACATCACCTTCTGTTGGAGCACCAGCATAGAGGATGATATAGTTCAAACAGTTCAGAGACAAACACAGAAATTTCCTATGGGCATACATAAGGCCTGAGTGTAAGGTTCTAAACACATATGGAGACTCTAGACATTATTGATCCAAAACCCAAAATGAAACAGATATTGATTAGGAATCAGGTGGGGTTTGAAAGTGTGGATGGCCCATCCAAGAGACAAAAGTAAAGACCTGGAGACCAAGAGCATATCATTTCTATTGCATTCTTTGGGAGAAGATTAAAGAATACTTGATCCAGAAGCTGCTCACAAAGTGGATCCTATAGAAGGGAAAAGGAAACAGAATAAGAGGAGACAGAAAAAATACAGTAAAATTGAGGAAAAAAAGCCAGACTGAAGAATCTGATGAATCAAATCAAAGGGTCTCAAAGCCAATGATCCTACAGATAAACAAAGGTGTAATGAGATAAACTCCCAATAAGGTGGATGATGAAGGTGTCCAAACGTATAGTAAGTTAATGAGAAGGTGCTACATTTGATTCTATATTGGGCAATTCGATTGGGACTAAAGGGCCATGAAGTAGAAGCTAAAAAGGTTGAAGTGGTCCAAGAAGTAAAAGAAACTGACTAGACTCAAATTGACTACAAGAATATGAATAACTCAAAGACAATGAATGAGGAATCAACATCCAAATTAACTACTACCGATGTACCTCCCTTGTACATGAAGATCAATTTACTAGAAATAATTGCAAACATAAATTGGGGCAAGAAGGAAGCAGATTCAAGTTAAGTTACAATACTGGCAAGGAGAGTAGTACTTCATAAAACAGTAGCATGAGTAAGTATATCAAAAGAACAAAACATCTATGTCAGAAAAGAAACTAATACTGTAGGGACAGCTGACAAAAACACTGTCAAATGTAAAAAAAGTTCCAGTGAAAAAGAATTGGGAGATCAAGAATAGCCTATAGCTAAAAGCTGGGCTGAAGAAGCCAGTCTCAAATCGACTTGAATAAGGAAAATTGTTGACACAAAAATGCTCCAACCCCCTTCCCTTCAAAACAAGAAATGACTGTGAAGTCAAATGAAACAAATCAGAAGGCCTCACCAAAATGCCCACAGCACAATGAACAGAAAGACCATGAAGAGAATGAATGTTAAGTCAGCAATAACTAATATCAAGAGAAAGCAGGAAAAATAAAGGTCCTAAAATCTAGCCCCCTTAACTATTACAGAAATAGACCATTTAATATTTAATTTATCACACATACCTGAGTGATAAGCTGAAAGATGTCTGCAGAATTACCATCAGGAAGAAGGTGAGTTGATAAATTCTGTTCTTCTGAAACAGAATATGAAGAGGCCTGGGCAAAAAAAATGGGCTTTTTCACCAACAAATGAGTAAAGGCAATGTTTTATAGCATTGACATCAATCTGAATGGGAAATTCCAAAGAGGTAACCACAAGAAACTCAGCACGCATGGCTGAAATATGTTGACTAATCAAGTACAACAAAGCAGCCACAGAATCCCCTTGTACACCCAGTCAAATACAGAAATAAGGCCTCAACTGAAGAAGTAGAAGCTTTAAAGTTAGCAAAAGTGGTAAGATCAGGGTTAAGAGTAAAGTCCAAATTCATACTGAACAGAGCCAATGATGTGAACTACATGAATATCAAGAAGATAATCTGGCTTTGGGCTGAAAGATATAGCTTGAGTAGTCCACTGATGTATGTGCAATTAAGTCACGTGGAAAAAAGGAAGAGTATGGGTAGGTATGACATTCAGAGAATGAGTCTACTCAATGAGAAGAGGCAAACTGCATTTCAGAGATACATTTGCCCATTTTGAATGCTTTTACAAACAACATAAATATCATTAGCATTAAAGAGTTTTCTATTTCTTGCTTAACATTTGAAAAAAAAAGCAGAAAAAATGCATCTAAACAAGTTAAATTTGACAACAATACAAACATAAGATATAATAAAACATACAAAACTGTAGCCACTAGAGTATGTTTTTCACAGATATCTATAATGACATTTTCACAAAAGGATCTTGCAAGGGCTTTCAGTTTTGCTATAATATTTCAGGCATGAAGTGTAAGGAAAGGTGCAGAATGGTAGTTCTGCGGCAGTATGTTAAATAAGAGTTGTATCTTGCTTTATTTCTACAAAATTTTACAATACAATTCGTTCACATCACAAAGAAACTCAATAAAAAGCATTCCTGTGGTTTGAGTTAGGCTTAACTTATAATCATATTATAAACAAAACCACTTGTGATTATATATGTACAGCATCTTTTGAAAAGCATACAAACCATATATGTATGTGTGTGTGTGTGGTATGAACATACATATTTAAGAAATATCTCTGATTTGTTTCCATACACAATACATATATCCTTATAGCCTTGAGCTTCTATTTTCAATTTGGTTTACATAATTTTTTATGGTCAATATATATATATTAAAAAGAATTTTTAGTCAATAAATTGCCTATGAGCAAAGAAAATACATAATTTCAAAGTAGATTTTTGTATATATTCTGATGTAGAAAAAAATACACAAATTGCTAATCTCATGCTACTTTCTGTCATCTTGATCACATGGCATCTGTTATTTTACGCAGAAGCTGCTACTATATGCATAGATAGCATCATTTGAATCTTACGCACAGCTTCAGCAGGTTTTCCAAACTTTAATCAATAAAATCTATGAAGTGCTATCAGATGTACTGAAACACAACTCAAATATACTCAACAAGAAATACTGCAAGCCATTTGTGTCTCTGTATAAAACATTAAGAAATTTTCTGTTGTCACCAGAAAAAATGGGCTTGATTCTTATTTAGTGAATAAATAGATTAAAATTTGTAGATGGTCCATTAAAACATCTGGCTGTATTTCTACATCCTTCATGATACAGATTTAGGAAATGTATGCAAATCATTTAAGATTTAAAGATATAAAATATGACTCATGTTTGTTATTTTCTATGTACTGTTGTAGAATAACAAAGAAGATATATAAACTCTTTCTCATCTTTTTTGTAATTGGCAAGATAACTTGAGACTGCAATGTTTATTGGCTTTTGTAAAAATGTTATGAAATTTGTACTTCCTATTATATAACTGTTGTAAAAAGTTTTTTTTATTATGCTTTCTTGAAAGTTGAAGTGAACACATATTACTATATATATATATATATATATATAGACAACACAATAGACCAGAACACCCAGAACCTATACTTTATAGTCTTGATTCAAAAAATTCAATTTTATCTTGTGTCACTAACTCCAAGATGGAAAAAAACAAAAACAAAATAGAACTACATACCATTACAATATTTCCAGACTGTAAGCCTCCTGATGATGGGATGGAAATAGCCTGAGGGCTTGCACCTGCAGTTACCGTACTGGTTGTTGTCTGTTGATGGACAACCTGAGGTGTTGCCGGGGATAGAGAGCCGGCTGGTATTTGAATAATTCCTAATTAATAAAAATCAAATGTGTTATTCAATAGCTTAGGTATATCCAACTTAAATATATAATGAAATTAAACTAAACTTTTAACATATAAAAATCGTATTGGAGTTAAAGGAACATTTTCATCATAATAATTGCCACTGACTAAAATTGCAAAGAAATACAAAGACTGCAACAGTAAGTCTTATTATACAATGAAATTTGAATAACAAAAGTCCATATTTTATAGAATTATTGAAATACAGTAAAATTCTATGAAAAATAGTTGCATTGTTGAAAAATCTTTTTCTGATGTGTTCTTTTGGATTATTTGGAAAACATAACACTAAGACCAGTCCACATAATGATAATGAATTAGCTTACATTTGCTACAGGCTACTTATACTTGTAGGCCTCACTTTACAAAAAAATGTTTGAACAGAATTTATGAGACTAATGGTATGCCTAACTCACAAATAAATATATTTGTAAATGTTAAATTTTCTCTTGCGAATGGAGCAATGACAAACATGCTAACTAATTTAGTGATTAACTAAATAACACTAAACTTATTCATTCATTGATATTAAAGTCTTTATTTATTTACTATGTTTTGATGCCAAGTTTCTTCATATACATTCATAATAAAGTAGTTTAATTAAATTTTGAATGTAACTCTGTAAAAAGTCATGAAATGCACACTTTGACCTACCTGTCCGACTTAATTTATTCACTTAGATAAGTTGGGGAAAAATAAATTATATACATCAGTAGTCTCTACACAGTAATTGAAATAAACCATACAATTAACCTTACCTCCCTGACTTTGAACAAAGTTTGTGCCATCTATAGCTACTGGCTGATAAACCAGAGTCTGACCATCAGATGTTTGAATAATTTGGCTTTGTTGAGGCTGCTGAATTAGGAACTATAAATAAAAGTTTAATAACAAAATAACTGTATTCAATAAAATATTTTCTTTACATTATAAATGTATAAAATACAATGTTTTATATTTTAGGACTAATAAATCCCAAATTTCTTTCTAACATTGTTTTAAAACAATGGAAATAACTATATGACTATAGCAAACCACTAAATACTTGCCTAAAGGTGAGCTCTGATTGACCCTGCACAAGTATTGAGGGGGGGTTGGGGAATAAAAAAAAAAATCTAAATCAGTGCAAAATTTATACATTTTGATAAACTCAGTAAAATGAAAAAAATAAACAAGTGCCACACTGTAAATTTAATGAACGCTTAGATAGTTACATAACTCTAATCACATGGTTTACAGTAATACAAATTAATAACTTGTAGTATCTGAATTTGGCATTATACTAACTTCAAATAGACATCAACATAATATAATATTGCAATAGCATATAAAGCTTAATTTACGTTGATATCTTAACCAGGAGGGAAATAATCTTCATAAATAATACTTACTAAAACAACGGCAGCAGATCAATGAGTTAGATGAAGGTACCAGATACTAAATGCATTGTCTGTACTTTTTTAAATATATTTAGCTTTTGGTTCATTTATATATTATAAATTCCAGTGACATGTATGATGTCACATCCTAACAAATGAGCATTATTATATTGCTATAACGTTAATAATATTCAAATATCTTACAAGTACTAAATTTTAGTCATGAAAACACAATCTTAATCATACCCATCAAATGATTATGTTTTTTATATTTTTTGTGTGTATCTCAGAATGCCTAAAAAACATTTTTTTTAATTATAAGATCCATATTATTTCATTTTTTTATTTTCATATTTTTATTCACTTGTTTAGGATAAAACCAGCCTTTTCTTACATTATTTAAAGATTGTTTAAATGATCAAGTAAGTTAAAAAAAATTTTAAATATTAATATATTTTATGAAATACTATGAATATTAAAAACAGTTATTTGCAAAGGATAAACACCAATTCATAAGGAAAACATCTTGCTCATAAAGGGCCAAAAACAGATCAGCAACCCATGAACAGTTTGCTCATTTGAATCAATTACTGCAAGAATCCTCAGTGGCTAT